CTGTAGTTCGAGCAAAAAGGTTGTAGCCCGAGCAACATTCACAGCCAAACAATCAAGAACCCAAGACATACAAGCCAACGCCCCCTATTCATTCATTTTTACAACCCAACCACAAGCATAGCCACGTCATGATCTCATCCATCCTAACCATAGAGGGCTGTACCTTGAAGTGCCATTGCCCCACCAACGTTCGTTACATCTTGACCTTCTTGTCATTCTTGGCTTTGACGAAGACATCGATGTTGAAGGATGAGATGGCATTCTGGACTGCCTCCATCGAGACGGTTGTTTTTATACTGGATCGGTTGAAGTTGGCTTTTCATGCATTGAGAAAAGAAAGAAAGAAAGAAAAAAACTGAAAAAACCCCCTTTTTTTTTAAGCATGAAAGGTGATGGTTGTGTTTGAATGCATGCTTTGAGCATACTCAAAATAATAGCACTTGCCTCAAACTCGCATGCACAAACTTACTCTCCAAGTTGGCAAATGAAGCAGTGATCCTGTTGGTCTTCTCAGCAGGTGTGGTGTTATACTGCTCGCACCAGAAGTTGCCATCCGTGAGGTCATAGTGTGTAGGACGACCACAGTGTACATCACCAGTTGAAGAAATCGGTTGAGCACACACCCAGATTGTGTTGCACCCGAGTTCTTGGATAGTGCCATCAAAACACATGGTAACTTCTCGTCACATTGCGAAAACGTGATCCTCGCTTTCTGTGGGTCTATTGATACAATCAGCATTCGGATTGAAACACAAGGAAGAATAGAAAATATCATGAAAGAGATGTATAAGGAAACTTCTGTATACAAATCAATATGATTTACATTAGGCATGGGATTAGACTACATGTGAAAATACTGAAACATGGCAAACATAGACAAAGAAATCAATGTACCAAGGTAGGAATAAGTACAAAACGAAATATTAGACGAAAAAAAAGTGAATACTTCTATTTGTAGCAAACCGCAAAAAAATGGTTAGTTGGCACATGCCGCGTCACAATGCCGACATCAATAGATGGTGGAGATAGCTCGATACCCATCCTCGTGATTCGTCCTATAACATCCCCATCCAAAATCTCCAATACTCGAGTCCTACGAATGTTTTGTAGGGAGTGTAGGGGTATGGGATAGGGATGATAAGCAAGATACCTTAGCTTATGCCATTTAAAAAAATGCAAACAACATGTGTAGTCTTCATTGTACACAAGCATTCGTACCTTTTTGTACTCACGAGCTGCGTCTTGCTTTTGTAGGGCTCGGTTATCCACAGGAATACAAAAACTTTAGATCTTGCTGTCCTGCGTTGACTAATTGCAATATAGCTTCAGCCGTTGTGCCAAAAGCCGTCAGGCCGTATTCACCGCTCTCATCGCAAACCCAGCACACTTCCTGCATGGAGTCTTCTTCACCCTGTGTCTTGCGAATGCGAAGCTCCACTTGAAAAGAGCTCAACTGTAGGTACAAAAGAGTCATAAGATTGAGAACGAAGTTGTTAGTTAGTGAATGAATAACCAACAATCATTTTGTCAAGATAGCTGTATTTTCATACCAATGTAGATCGTCGAGCGTACGAAATACAAAGTTTTTGTATGTGCATTTCAATCAATATGATAACAACCTTTTATGAATCTATACTTGCCAATGAGCAAATTAGGATATTTACTTACCTGCCCGACATCAGTTTGATAGAGCTGAGAGAGCGGAGGGGGAGGGAAAAATGCTCAGAAGAAGAGCATCTTCTCCAGTGACCTCAATTGCACGTGAGCACCAATGCTTCCACCTCAGTACGCCCTCTAGACGCCCGATAGTAGTCCTGTTGGTTGTTGTTTATATTCGATTGGTATGGGAGTCATTGCATGAAAGATTATAATGTCATGTCACGAACATCACATTGCTAACCGATATTAACAAGTCAATCATCTTGCTAAAGGTCTAGAGTATGGCTTCGGTGACAAACATTGAACACATTATAAATGAAAGGAAACGTGGTAAGCTCACTTAGGTTTCTTCGGACGAAGGCAAGACACGTAGGAGATGTCGTACGTTGCTCCAAGCTTGAAACGCTCCAGTGTTTCAGCACATCTTTTAGCACTCCATGACAAAGGATGACATGATTCATCCCAAAACAGTAGCTCCACCATCGACCCATCCGCATCCAACAAGACCAACTTTGAAGTTCATCAAACTCTCTGACCGGGATAACATTGACGACCATCACTCGAACAAAGAAACTTGAAGGATCTTTGTCGTCGTCAAGCAGTTCCACAAGTGATGCAAGTTTCACGTTGACTGGATTCTGTAATAGAGGGGAAAAGGAGATACAAACAAAGAAGGAATGTTTTTCTTGACTTACAAATGTTCAAGTTAACATTTACATATTCAAATAGCTACGTAATATGTATCCGTTGACAGATGGGATGTGAAAGTTAGCACAATATGAGGGTACTACATAGAACATGAGATGATGCTACAACGTGAAAACCGACTAGAAACGAAATGTTGACTAGACAGGAAGGGATGCCGATAGTAAGAGACAATGGCACAACAAAAGCTGATGGTATGGCATGAGATAGTGGTATTGCATGAGGCTACGTAAGGTAATGGCATGATTATAGGTGACGGTATGGCAAGGGGATAATGACAAGGGATAATGTCATGATATGGGATCAGCTAGGGACACCTATGGATACCTAGGGACCTAGGGACACCTAGGGACAGCTAGGGACAGCTAGGGATAGCTAGGGACAGCTAGGGACAGCTTGGGACACCTAGGAACAACTAGGGACGCCTAGGGACACCTGAGTCACCTAGGGACAGCTAGGGACACCTTGGAACACCTAGGGACAGCTAGGGACACCTAGGGACACCTAAGGACACCTATATGGGGTTATTGCATTGCAACACGAATCCAAATCTAGGGATACTCTCCTTGACATAATGGCACATCATGAAGTTGTAGCTCGGCAAATATTTTGGATATGGCATAAACAAAGCGATTTGAAAAGATTTACACCACATGACATGTAACAAATATATAACAGAAAGCTGTGGTGTGCGACTAAATAAAAGTTCTTTGAGTAAAATACTTACAGGCTTAAAAGGAGAGGGCAACGGATCTGAAAATGAAGGGGGGGAAGTACTGAAGAGATCATTATGGTTATTTCAATATCACATACACAGGAAAATGGTCACTAAAATAAGTCTTACCAACATGCACATTCACATCAAACTGCATTTTGTTTACCCAAACATGGTCAATCAACGTTTTACGAATTGTCGTTGGGGTAGAAATACACTGAGATAGGTTTAATGCGCCCATGTAATTCATCAAAGATGATGGCACATTGATAGAAGAGTCAAAATTGAGATCACCATTATGATTATTCTTGATGTTGGAATCACTTGAAGTACACAATTTAGGACCGCATAAAGGTCAACATGCCTTGATGTCAGATTGCGATATACACAAACAACATACGTATACAGTATTGTTTCATGCCATAGTACAACCACCTGCACTTTCATTGATATTATTTCATGAATGATAGAAATGTTACTCTTATGAGCAATCGACATACCCCCAAACTCACAGTCTTGCCTATAGGTCAAGAATTTGTCCCAAAATATAGTGTGAGAATCTGTTGTCTTGAGATGTGTTTCAATAAGTACCACAAAATCGAAACCCTGAACACTTAGAGGTGTGACAAAGTCACAATCTCTCCTAAACCTACGAATGTTTTGGAAAACAAAATTGATGGTTCCAGAGTATTCAGTAATCGCTTCAATGGGAACTGGAAAAAGTCTGAACTTGCTCCTGCGTAAGCACTCCATTTCAGTCACAACTTCAGGATGTATTCGAATTGTGCGGGATGAAAAGTTTTGCAAATATAGTGAATGGTGTGACTTGAAGCGACTAAGTGCAACACATGCTGCGTGATGAAGTACAGTGTTGTGAAAACATATCACCCCAGAATCAAATGTCGAGCCTTGGCTACACTGGACACTAATGGCAAAACTTGGACGAAGTGGAAGTTGCATTCGAGAGATTTCATGTAATTGTCGATTGATAGAAAAACGTCTTTCAACACGTGTGATCAGTGTCCATGATAAATTGTTAATCTTACATGCATCAAAAAGTTTTGAGTTACTTCCGCGAGCCTTTTAGCCAACATCCTCGTTGTGAAACAATACCCAAATCACGGAAATTTCATAGCTCTCATCGTTCGAGAACCATTTTGCTATTCCCGATGTGCAATCAGCTAGACTGTCTGTTGTATCGATGTTCAAAACGATATGGACTTGGCAACCAATATACAAACCAAGTCTTGAAAGAAGCCCACACTTTTTTTTTGAATCAGGTGGAGCACTTTCTGAAGGAAGCCTAGAATATACCGCGGTTGTATCAAACAAGTGTAAGTCCCATGCATCTATTTTTTGCTTTTCTTCACTTGCTTGCTCGAATACCGTTTCATTATATTTGTTAATGTCATCATTTCTGTAGTAAATATGTTGCCGACACAAATCTTGCGGTGCGGACACGTTCAGGGATTGAAAGAAGTTGGGAAAGTACATCCGCGCTCAGTATTAGGGTCCCCGCTATTACGTACGGTCAGTGGAACACTATAAACCATCAGAATTAGTGAGTTCGTCACACGGCTAGTCAGTCGGGTTCCACGGTTGGTTAGTGACTGCTGGTAAACATTTCTACGAATGGTCAGTGGGCGTAACCCCCGCCCATTTTGGGCAGATTTCCCGCTCGCGGCAGCCCAACAACCAAACGAGTGTAATAATTGCGGGGAGCGAGATTTTTTTCGCGCCAGGCTGGCGCCGCACATTTCGCCCTCACTCCAACCCTCGGTACTGTACATTTCGCCCTCGCTCCAACGCTTGGAAAAAATCACCTACGAAAATAACATATAGCCCACCAAATAGGACGTGCTGAACCCGCGTAACTCCCTCAACTACAAGTCCAACCAATTAAACATATGTTTTCCCAACATTGAAACCTCATCAACAACGATAACCCTTACATCCTGCAAATTAGCTCTAAGGGTGTTCAATCACTCTGATGATAAGTTTGACATCACCCAGTTTTGAATAATAGGTATCATAAGTGCATTATGCATAGTGTATCCATGTATATTAAATGCCGCAACTCCTGTTGGTGCCATTTTTTTAAATTTAAGGGATGCGGGGTTTGAAAAGATAGATGAATTGAATATTCTTAAAATTTGTTCAGTAACTGTTCTAATCAGCACCAATTTTCCTGCACCCGCCCCTCCATTGACGAATAATCACAAGGGAGATTCTTGAAATCGAATATGATGCACTATATGGTCGCATACAGCTCGTTGTTCAAGGTTTAGCGGCCTTTCCATTTCCATGTACTCTGAATCCTCTACTTTGATTTGAACAAACAAATCGCTCGCCTTGCTAGCTTTTTGTTTGAAATCCAACTCTATGCCTATGTCAATTTGCTCATTCACTTCTATCGGTTTGACATATGTAGCTAAATCATCATCATCATCATCATCATCATCATCATCATCATCATCATCATCATCATCATCATCATCATCATCATCATCATCATCATCATCATCATCATCATCATCATCATCATCATCATCATCATCATCATCATCATCATCATCATCATCATCATGATCATGATCATCATGATCATGATCATCATGATCATGATCATCATGATCATCATCATCATCATCATCATCATCATCATCATCATCATCATCATCATCATCATCATCATCATCATCATCATCATCATCATCATCATCATCATCATCATCATCATCATCATCATCATCATCATCATCATCATCATCATCATCATCATCATCATCATCATCATCATCATCATCATCATCATCATCATCATCATCATCAGCATCATCATCATCATCATCATCATCGGCTTCCTTAAACGCATCTGCCCAGCAATCTCTTCCAGATGTATATTCTAGCTCTTTTTGCATGTTGGATCTCTTGTTAGCATTATAAATGTTCAATACTAAAATGCTATCATTCGGCTCCTCCATAAAATGATGAAACAACAAAACTCGCTCTCGAAAATAATTTGCACAATCTAGTTGTACATGATAGTTTACAAATCTAATAACCTTATTCTTCTTCCGCTTACAGTAGTATTTTCTACCATCTGTTAGATCAGGCCCAAATACGCATGTGCCAATCTTATTATCTTTATGGTGTGGTGCTAGTTTGTACATACAAACAAAATCTGCTAAACATGTGTGCTCTAAAGAGTGTGGCCGGTATCTATATCGCTCAAGTATGGCATATGGCACATAACATTGCGAGCTGACTTTTAGGTTTTAAAGTTAATAATCGCTTAGTAGGTGGCGCGATATTTATAAAGACGACATGTCGAGTCGACATTCGATATTGTAAACTCAAAAGTAAATAACAAGCTTCTTGAGCATTGATCTCTTGAGCATTCAACATCACATTTCCAATGAGGCGTAGTATTGTCTTTATGCCAACCCTGGCTTGACGAGCTTTAGTTAAAATCCTTTGCATCATAATACTAATGCCTTTGTTTGATTTAGTCATATAAGATACTATATACGCTGCAACGCTATATGGGTCAGTACATAATTACACATCCATATTACCCTTCCATGATTTTAATAATGGGGAGTATAATTGTTTACGTAAATATCGCAGACTCGCCTTCGTAACAACAATGTGTCTCATTTTAAAGTATACCGGATTGTACGAATGTAATCATCATACAATATTCCAACATCTAATAAGAACTTCTCGAACTTAATGGTTGAACTACCCATCCGGTTATTTAGGCAATTTTTTTTTTTTTTAGCATTGTTAATCAAAACGTGTCACTCCGATTCGCTTTCAACATTTAACGGTGGATGTAGCAATAAAGTAAAAGGCAATGGATACATTGGAAAACCGAATCTACACTTTGTTAAATTCTGCGTCATTCTTTTACAAGTTCGAGAATGTCTATGCGTTTGTAATAACAAAGTGTTAGAATCTAAACCTTCAGAGGTTGTACTAATATGTGCATCAGCAAATCGTATGATGTTATCTTCAGAACCAATTCATTGGCTTGTTTGCTCCATACAATAGCATGAGTATGCGGTGCACCTCTGTATTGGAATTCATCCAGCGCAAAATAGTCTTCAATACCTCCCATAATAGTAGAGTTTCTGTTTAACAAGTATCGAATAAGCAAGCTCTTTTTTAAATCATACTAACGCACACATGTCACCGTGTCACGTCTTACCAAAGTACTTATGGTGTTAAAATCCAATAGTACAGTTAAGTGCTCTGGCAACTGACACGGATTGCCACGCTGTTTATTGATATTCAGCAATATTTTATGAAGTTCGGTCCATTTTGTATCTGCCATTGAAATTGTAAAAAAAAATGTAGGCCTTCCAAGTTGGCGTAACATGGCAGAAAGATCGCGTTTGCAGTTCTCCCGATACTGCTGAGCTGTACGAATCGCCTTAAAATTATTATAAATAATAACTCCTTGTTGTAAGGTTGTGCGTTTTGACTTATTCAACATGTCGTTTGATGTGAATGAGTTTAGATTTTCTATTTTCTCTTGCTTGACCCTGGTAGCAATGATACTTTAAACTTGCAATATTTGTTTCTTGTACATCTTGAAGAAAATATTGGGAATGTTTGATGAGCACCGCCCATTATTGTGTTTCATCTCCCATTTTACAATATTAGAGTATAAATAATTATCATTAATAGCCCCTCCCAGTCTACGTTGACCATAATAAATAGATGGGAAACTGAGCTCTTCAACATCCGTGTCAAGTAAGATAAACCTAGGCTTATAAAATTCCCCAGGAGCCATTTGTACTATGTTTTGTGATGGGTATTGATAAGAAGGTTGTTGAGTTATGATCGTATCCAAAATTCCAACATTGTGCTCGTCTGACTCGTCAGTCTGAGTAGACGATGACAATGTGTCATTCCTATTGCAGTGAGAAAGGTTCACCTCATCTGTAAGTACTGCATAATCTGTCACATCTCCAAGCTCATTGCAACGATCATGGTTTATGCACATGTTATTCTCTCTAAAAAGCTCTTGCTAACATAGATAAGTTAGCGCTTTCAGTATTTTTAGCCGTCGAACATTGTCTTCGAATGCATTGCTCGTACAGTATACTCCATTTTCCGCTTAAGGCGAACCATAATTGTGTGCGATTCATCTACTGACCGAGGCAATGAAGCTATCATCGTATCCACCTCTACAAGAATGTTTATTACTCCACCACGTATGCCTAATTGTTTACCAATAGATAAGGCATGTATTCGCATAAATGGTATCCGATGACTAATAAACCGTTCCTCCAATGTGGTTAAATCTTGCAATTCAGTTGGCTGCTTTGGAAAACCGATGCTGTTCATTTCACTGTATGGAGATGTCATATTCGACCTTACGTATCGGACACAACTGGTACACATCGAACGACCTCGCTTCTTGCTCTCTATTCCGTTCATTGTACTATGGAAGTTGAACAAGCCACAGGATTTGCACGCTATTGTTGGACCGTCATAACAGTTCTGCAAGAACTTGCTGACGTACCAATCATGCGCTATAACTTTTGGAGGTGGTTTAACAACTTGTGCATGCTGGAACATATTATCAAGCACTTCTTATCAAAGTACCATCACTACACAAAAGTTCATCCAGTACATCCAATTGGTCCCCTTGTGACGAATTTAGTTTACTAAGTATAAAGTAAGCTCGACCAAATGCAGCATCAATGGCATGCATAAAACCCCCATAAGTATAACGCTTCTTACTACACTTAACAGCAAACTTGAAGCCATGTGAAGCCTGTTTTATGCCAATGTACGTCTTATCTCCACACCTATCGTGGTTTGCATGAATGTCATGTAGACGTATCAAATTGGTCCTGGTGTTGCTAAACTCACCTCCATCTTGTGAATACCTCATACCCTTGCTATGTGTTCTTTCAAAGCATATAGAGTCACTAATCACTTCGTTTGGCCCATCCTGCTTTCCATGCACCTTGTGAACATGTTTACAATTATGTGAGCTACTTTAAAAACCGTGAATAGACATGCTCCGATATAGGCAGTTGCCATCTCCAATGATGGCCACTAATTTTAGAACATACCGCTTTTCAAACTCGTCAGCCAACGCCTCCCCGGTGATGATGACATGCTCGCTAGAATTGTTTGCAGCACTGGCAAGCTTGGTAACCGTGTTCGCCATGTGTGCAATACAGTGTTGCTCACCTCCATTCACGTGTTCTGCTGGCATGGTTGACGAAGGCACCAATGACGCATCTAACTTATCTGCCCCTGTAGTTGCCCGGTCTTGGTCACCAGTGCGCCGCGCATACCTAGTACCATAAGCAATCCCCTCGTTCGAAGGCACCAATAGCGAATAGTGATGTTCTGCCTCACTATAATGCAAGTGCATGACACCTCGAGATTTCTGACCTGGAGGGACTCGAAAACACTGGGCAAAATTACTTTGTCGCATCCAGAGGATTGTCATTGTACAATACACAACAGAGGACGCGTTTGCCTCAACAATAACCCCCACTCATTAAGACCAGAAGCATATGCGTAGTAATCGCCACCTGATGCGAATGGAATACCATGTGCAATTCTTGCCTGCAACGGGTATGTATACCTCTGGTCGTCCCAGTTTAAAGCAATGTGGGAAATCACATTGTTTTTTATATCCGAGTACTGATTTTGGGTATCAAACTGATGCATAGACATGCTCCGATATAGGCAGTTGCCATCCCCAATTATGGCCACTGGTTTTAGAACATACTGATTGTGACACGACCTCAGAGGAGTGTGCAGTGCAGTCGTCATAGCATATCATAGCTCCATAATACAGCACACTAGATAGGGCAAATACATGGCAAGGGAACAAGGCTGAGCGGCCATGCTAGTTATCAAAGCGAGGGAGGGAAGGGTGGGCAAGTTGGAACAAAAAAAATGCAAATGAGACTAGGTGGCAGGTCTGAGAGACCTGCCGATAGATGAAGGAGTTTGTCTCCTTTACAGCAAACTCCTCTTCTAGTCGAATCACAATCTGTAAATTTTTCATTACAAAAAATTTCTCATATTGTGACACGACCTCAGAGGAGTGTGCAGTGCAGTCGTCATAGGTCGAACGAGACATCAAGTGTGAGGGCGTCGACGGTGGCGCTCAAGGGTGGCCTGGTACCGATCGGTCGCGCTCGAGCGAGTAGGATCTTGTAGCATGCGAGAAGCGGCCACTAGCTCGCGGTCAAGCTGAGTAATGTAAAGCTCCTTGGCTGTATCACTTCGCCAACGGCCGAGGGCCTTGAAAAGCCGGTCGGGGACTCCAACATCAACGGCGACCGTCGCAGCTGCCTTGCGGAAAGAATGGGTGCCCAGGAGGGCTGGGTTGAGGCCGACACGGGAGAAAGCATCTCGACACCAACCCCGAATGGCGGCGTACGAGGGAGGGCGATCTGAGGGGGAAGCTCGGGCACCTGGCTGAAATATATGAATAAGGGGGCCAAGGGTCTGCGGAGAATAGCCAGCCAGGAAGAGGAACTGTTGGACACGCGACACCGGACAGTGGCGGGCAGAAGAAGCAGCCACTGGGACCCAAACACCGGTGCCCGCTTGGTCGGTCTTCGAACGGGGGATGAACAACCACATGCAGTCCCGATCGAACTCGATCTGGTGCCACTGGAGGGAGATGAGATCAGAGAAACGAAGGAAGGCTGCGAACATGAGGAGGGGAATAAGGCCCCGTTGGAATGTGGCCGGATCATGCGAGGAGAAGTAGAGGTCACAGATATCGTAAATCTTGGCGGGAGGAATGGGCTCTTTCGCTTGAGATGGCTTGCCACAATGACGCATGGCATAATCCTTGACTTGCGAAGAAAAGGGGCCGCGAATCGGGGAGGGGTGGCCGATCAGCCAATGGGCGCAGGATATGGCGGAACACGCAGTGCGCAAAGCTGAGACGGTAGCGCCGCGACGGACCGAGTGCAGCAGAAAGAGGGCCGATGTCAGGTCGGTGGCGGGAAGGAAGGGAAGTGAGTGCGCCAAACAGAAGGCTCGAAACTGTCGCCAATAGGGTTCATAAGTGCGAAGGGTAGACTTTGCCCGAAGATCGACGGTGAGTGTGAGAAGGTCCGACAATAATCGACCAATATATGAGCCTGCGCAGTGAAATAAAATGCTACATTAGTTGAATGCAAAACGAAGCACATACATTGGAGAGTTCGGAAGACCGGCACCGCTAAAGGCATAACGGTCACTGCCAACACGTAAACAACTAGCACCCAGGGTAAGGCGAAGGGCCATAACGACCTCCGGGCCCCAAGTGAAGCCGTCCAAGCTTAGCAAAGGCCACCAAAAAGCACTAGGCCAATATGGGATCACGAGAGTGAGAGAAGTGCGCGAGCGACGGGCATGAGTTAGGACAACCGGGATGAGGGCGGGTGGAGGAAAGGCGAAGCAATTCTCGTGTCCCCAATTAATAGAAAAGGCATCTTGCGCAACCACCGAGTGTGAGAACTCGAGGGAGCAGAAACGAGCGAGCTGCGCATTGGCAGGGGATGCAAACAAGTCGATGGTATGAGGCCCCCAATGCCTCTCCAGCAGCAGAAACCAAGGACGTGTCAAGGAGTAGTCGTCGTGGAGCTCAATCTTGGACAGAGCATCGGCCTCAGTATTCAGCGCACGGGGAATCCATTGGACCGTGAGACGGATCATATGGCGCACGCACAATTGAATAATCGTGCGGCATACGAAGGTAAGCTCGGGACGGCGAGAGCCTCCCTTCTGGAGGATGTAGTAGGCCGCCTGACTGTCGCTGCGGAGCAAGATGTGCGAACGCCGGATTTCGACAGAAAAGGCCGAAAGGGACCAAAAGATTCCGGCCAACTCGCGAAGGGTACTGGACGAGCCCAAGAAGGCTAGAGGCAGCGGGGAGGAGAGCGAGCCGACACGACCATCCGGCGCGGAATAACAAGCCCCCCAGGCATGGTCGCTAGCATCCACGTACATGACAACGTCGTACAAATGCGGGTTATGGAAGCGGGCGCCGTTGAAAATGTCGAACTGTGTGAGCAAAAAACGCAGCTCTTCAACAGACTCAGGGGTTAGGAGAATGGCCGCCCCCCTTGAGTGGCATTCGGCGATCTGAGCGAGAAGGTGGTGGGAGAAGGCGCGCGCGACGGTGCCAAGTGCCAAGGACATGGAGGCCAACATGCCAGTGATGCGGGCAACGCGGCAAACAGGGATGCGACGCCCGTTAGCGCCGAGTGTGCCTAATTCATCCAGCTCGGCAAACAGCCGATCGCGCCGATCCGCATCGACAGAGAATGTGGTGGTGCGCGTGTCCAGCAAGAGGCCCAAGAACTTCAACGATTGTGCCGGCGCGAGTTGTGATTTTTTTAAATTCACTACGAAGCCCGCGGCTGCAAGGTCGGTGATGATTATGGAGCGGTTGTGAAGTGCCTCCGTTCGAGTGGCACTAATGAATAGGATATCATCGACGTATGGAATAAGGCGGATGCCACGGCTACGCCAGCGTTTGGAGAGTTGCTTAACTAACTGGGTAAACACAAATGGCGCTGTAGCCAGCCCGAAAGGCAAGGAGAGGAATTGGTAGTCCTGCCCTTGCAGGGAGAATCCAAGAAACCGCCAAAAGGCGGGGTGGATGCCGACGTGGTGGTACCCAGATTTGAGATCGATGGTGAATAGCCAATCGCCTTCTTGCACCAAATCAGGAACGCGAGTAAGTCTTTCGTATCGAAAACGAGGCACCGAGAGGAATGAGTTGACATGCCGCAAGTCCAATATCAGCCTCTTTTTAGAGGGTTGGACAATCACGTTTAATGGGCTAACGCATGTAAGGGTTGCGGAAGGAGGTACGACCCGAGCTGCGCCGGTGGCGAGAAGCTCGGCCACTGCACCTACAGCGAAAGATGTGAATTGCAAGGCACCGGCATGATTCTTAGTACGAGACGGGGGGGGCTCAGAGGCAACCCATGGTAGGCGATATCCATATGTAATCACCGATAGAATCATGTCGCACCAGGCGGACCACCATGCAGCGCGGTCACGGAGGCGGCCTTGCATGCGGGTAATCTTGGTTGCATCATCGGCATAGGCCGAAATGGTTCCGAGCTCTGGTGGGAGAGGGAACACAAATAGGGATGGTAGAGAGTCAGGAAGGTGCTTCACCTCATTTAGTTCCGACCTCAACAAGGGAGTTTTTTTTTTTTTTTTTTTGTCGGGAAGGAAGGCAAACGCTTATTATAGGTGCCCACTCGCTCGCTATTTTCTTCGGCCACGTCATCCCTTAAGTAATAAACCATTGGATTGGGCATGTCAACTTGGCATACTGGGCTGTAGTTGGTGGTCATATATGGTGATGACATAGAATCTTGTCATGAGTCTTATCAACGGCAGTCTTTAGAGGACACACACACATTGTATAAGCGTCTTGTCGGCACGTTCAGGCCCAACGGGCGAGACCATGTGGTCGTATGACGCGCGTATTAATCTTACTTGAGTGCAATAATCTGTGTGTATGTTGTTGTTTTTTTTTTTATTATTATTAAGAACGCTACAACATCGGAGAGGTTAAGCAATCTTTACACAATCTTAGCCGGCCGATTGGCCCCTTGGCCTCTTTGGGGGCAATTAGCCATCCCATGCCCGGGTTCACGACAATAGAAACAACGGCCGTCGCCGTCCCTACGCCATGTGTTCCAAAGGCGCTCCCCTTGGCCTCGAGGGCGAAGAGGTGGTTCAGGACGGGATGTGGAATGGGTGGGCCGAGTGGGCCACTTCTTGCTAGCCGCTACAATCTGAGAAGCAGCCTTGACATTCTTATCCTCTACCACTTCCCCGTATTTAATCTTAAGGGCCATATTGGCCAATTCAAAACCGCGTTGATCGGCGATAAACAAAAAATGAATCTTTTCTTCCGCCTCCTCTACTATCTGCTGGAGATAGTCGGCGGCTTGTTCACCACCATCAGGTGGTAAAACCGAAATAGCATGACGTGCAATAGCTTGAATGCGCTCAAAACTAAAAAGTTGCGTACGAATGCCATCGCTTTTAACTAAGGAAGAGCGCAACTGAGGACGTGCAGGTGGAATAGGAGCAAGGGCGAGCGCTGCAGAAGCGGATTTTGGGCGGGCAGCATTACCTTCGTCGAGCGTGGCATGGGGTGCTTCCTCGTCCATTTCGTCGTCCACGGGCTCGGGGGCGGGCGCCGGGAGGCGAGAGCGTGGGGCTGCCGCCACTGCGACGCGTGCTGGTTCCGGAGGCGGTGCTGGATCGGCGCCATTGCCACGCTGGAGCGCCGCAAGAAGACCAAGAACGTGGTGAATGGCCTCATTGTTGGTGCCGGCGTAAACATTATTGTCGGTGTAGCGAGCAGAATTATTTTCTGCAGAACGAGGCGCTGTGGATGCAGTGGAGCGTGCTGTAACGCGTTCGCCAGCAACAGCTCCTGTGAAGATTCGCTGAAGATTGCGCTGGGCTGCAGGATCCAGGCGCGCAATCATTTCGGCGATATCTGCTGCTCCAGGGGTCGAGATCTGCGGATTTTCGCGTGGATTCGCTGCATCAGGGGGAAAATCCGTCCGGCGATCTGCGCGATCCCGGTCCCGATTCTGACGATCCTGGCCAGGCCCTCAGATTGGTTTTAGGGAGGCTGATTGCTCAGGGTCGGCCATGTGAGAGCCCATGCTTTTCAGGGTCGGGTTTTGGGCGTGGCATGTTTTTTCAGGCCAATTGCTTTTTTTAGTCTGACTTATCAGGCCTACATTTTTGTAGTTTCTGATTCTTAGGTCGGATCGGACTTCACTGCATACAATTCTTCTCGTCAGATTCCTGTCTGATTTTAACTAAGGACCAATCAACCCCCTCACACCTCCTCCAGCTCGCCTGGAACTTGTGTGATTCTGGTCAAGGACCAATCACGCCCCCCACACCTGTTGTAGCTCGCCTTGAAGTTCCGTGATTGTGGTCAAGGACCAATCACGCCCCTCACACCTGCTCTAGCTCGCCTGGAACTTGCGTCATTTTTTGTCAAGGACCAATCACGCCCCTCACACCTGCCCCACCTCGCCTCGAACTTGCGTGATTCTGGTCAAGGACCAACCATGCCCCTCACACGTGCTCTAGCTCGCCTTGGCAGATAAGATTCAGATTCAGGACGAATTTCGAGTAGGGCTGATTCGTCAGGCTCGATAAAACAAGAACATACTATTTTTCAGGCCTTAGAAAATGGGAACACATAAATTTCAGGTTTGATAAAAATCAAAACCTGAAAAATCAGGGTATGCCCTAGAAAACACCCTGATATACAGGCTTTCAGGCCTTTTTGGCCTGACTTCTGAGGCCCTGATCCTGGCGAATCTGGGGCGCTGGGGCGTTGAGATCGCGCTCATGATGACGCCCTGCGCGCGCAGGATTACAATCATGATTGTGGTCCTCGCGCGCAGGACCGTCATGATTGCGTTCGGTAGGTGGGGGGCGTGACGGGGCATTTTCGGCAGGCGGGTTCGTGTCGACACGGTTCTGCTCGTTACGCCGCTCGCCTTGAAATCCGGGGGGGGAGTCGCGATTGCGTGACGTGTTACGATCCGCGTCCCCCGCCACGTTTTCGATGTGCTGAACAGGGTCTTGACGCGCGCCACTCAGCAAATCCAAAGCGGTAACGGCGCCGTTACCTCTGCCAGGGCGAGGAGAACGCGAGCGTTCTCTATGCTGAGGAAGAGTTTCGGTCCCCCTCACGTGCAGGGGACCCACGCCTTCCACCACTCCTAGTATTGACGCGAGGAGCGGGAGGCCTACCACTTGCAGCGAAAATAAGTCCGCTGACCATTGTAGAGAATCTAACAGAAAAATCGTCTTGCAGCAAGAGACTCCTGTTGGAAATATCTCAAGGACTTAAGCGTTTCTGAAGTGTAACACTGTACTCGAGGAAGATTACAGGGGAGCACGCGAGTCAACGGAGGTTACACGAGGGGGCGGACAAAGAATGCGAAAGGACTCGAAAGGTCGCAACTGGAGGTTGCGACTGACCGTTACAACATCACGGATGGTAACCGAAGCGGCAATCGAGTCGCTGTGCGACTCGATAAACCGTTCCTGTAACTGTATTCTACAACTGCTTCCTTATCTTCTATATATTGCTGTATGCTTGTTTCTTTAATCAATCACTTGTTCTCACATACTAGTACAAGGGTTCAACTGCCTCAACTTCCGCTGCACTACTCCAAGTCTCAAGTCTTTACAGCTGGGACTTAATCTCTGCAAAAGATCCTAAAGGGTTTTTCTCAGCCCAACATGGTATGAGAGCTGGTCAGAGATCAAAACTCCCAGCAACTACACTCCATCAACAACCAGCAACTCAACTTGATTCAACAACTCCATTGATTACAAGACATGGACAACAAGGGCAAGAAAGTCTCTACGGGCTCACCCAGCGCCCAAGAAACTCAACACGGCAACTCTGGTCTGCACACCTCAGGACTGCAGACAGAGACCGGGACTACTCAAGAAACAACGGGAAGAGTACCAGAGATGGTGACTCCGTCTCCCTCTTCAAGTGTGGACCCGAATCTCATGGAGAGATTCTTCAGCTTCATGTCACACTTCGACCAGCAGCAGCAGACAAGGACACCTGCGCACTCAACACAGAGCAATGGAGGGAATATGGGATTAGCGCCGATGAGCCTCGACAACTCATCCTTCGAGCGACACAACCAAGCGCCTACCTTTGCGCCTTATCATTCTTCGCCGGGGACGTTCGAATTCATGCCGCCCCGTGCCCAGCCAACAGCAGCTGCTTCACAACAAACACCGAATGAAATCTTAAGTTTACAGGCGCAGTTCTCACACGTGATCAAACTTCAGACATCCTCACCGTTCAACGGACACGACTTCTTTACCTGGAGCTTCGAGTTTGAGCTGCTGATGGAGGCCGCGCATCTTCTGGGATACTTCAACGGGTCCCTGCCATTCCCAAGCAACGGCACTGGGAAGGAACAAGAGATCTTCACGTATCAGTCGCTGCTGGCGTACACGGTACTCCTGAGAAACCTGTCACCACAAGAGCAGCAGAGCATCAGAACGTATCGGAGTTATGGAAACTCCGCGGAGCTCGCATGGCACCACCTCAAATGCCTTTACCAAGCAAACGACAGCGTGACACAAAGCAGACTCATGCAACAGCTGACAACAATACAGATGAAGACCGGGGAAAAGGCGATGCAGTATATGAGTCGCTGCCAGACCCTCCGCGACCGCCTGCTTCGGTGCGGAGGAACGATCACTGAAGAAAGCTTCGTGACACTTGTCCTCGCCGGGCTCGGGCCAGAATGGAGAACCACACGATCACTTCTTCGAGCCCACGGAAGAATTTCGGAGATGCACCTCTGCGCCGAGCTTCACGCTGAACAACAGGAGATGGATCTGTTCGAGGAAAGACAACCAAGGAAGCAACAGCAGTTAGTCTTCTACACTCAAAGAAGAAATGACAACAACTACAACCGACGCAGCAAGCAAGATCAACGCGACAACCGAGGACTCACCATCGTGCCGCCGTTCTGCCACAACTGTCAGACTTCCGGGCACTCCAAGGTCAACTGCAACCGCCCTCGCGTTTACCGTGCAGCAGACCCACAAGTCGCTTCCACTCAAGCAAGTCCTCCAAGGCGCTCTTCAACATCTGCACAACAAACACCCAACATCATCAACTGCATGGTACACATCGACAACTGCGCACCCGCTTCACCACCCACTTACGCACCAGACGAAGAGGAATTCCCGCCGCCGCGCTCGCAAGGACTTCAGGTCAACCCGACATACGCTGCAGTCGCTAACGCCGAACCCACCGGGCGGAACACCTGGTTCTTGG